CAGTTTTCTTGGGGCTGCAGTGGGAACCTTAACTTTTATTATACTGATTTAAATTACTTTTGATTTATTATGTAAATCCCGATAAAATGTCGAATAGTTATTTTTAAAATATTTTTTGCTCAGAAGCAGTTAATAAGTAGAATTAATTTACACTTCTTTTTATAGATAGATAGATAGATAGATAGATAGATAGATAGATAGATAGATAGATAGATAGATAGATAGATAGATAGATAGATAGATAGATAGATAGATAGATAGATAGATAGAAAGCTGGGATGGGCAAAATACATTGAAATGTATTTACAAAAAAAATAGCCACAAAATGTGTATTTTAGCCACAAAATACTGTATTCTGTATTTTAAAAATACTACTAAATACTTTTACAAGGGGCCATGAAATTTCTTTGCAAACCTTCCAACAACAGGCCTACTTGATCAATCCCTTTTCTGCACCTCATTCACCTCTATTGTGCATGAGGAGGTATTTATAAAAATGTAACTTGTGTTTCTCTCTAATTTTAGTATAGATTTTGTACAAATTTCATACAGAAAGTACTGTCTTGAAGATGATCTCTTAAATCACTGTAAAAACCATTTAATGCTGATAATGAGTTGGAATATCTCTCTGTCTATATCTCTATATTGTGAAAATTGTCTAAATCTCTTAACAGTCTTATATTTTAAAAGGGTGACATGAATTTGTTTCCACATCATTTGTTAAATAAATCAGTTTATTGCAATTGAAGTCTCTAAAAATGTCAAATCACGATTTCGGAAATCGACTAAAATCTCCCGTTTTATTCATTTCCATAAATCATGTTGTTTTTTTTTTTTTTTTGTTGGTTTTTTTGCAATAGTACTCTTCAATACACAATATAAAACTCAATAATTTTTTTTTTTTTTTGCTGCCATAAAACCTGATTTGGAAGTTTCTGTAGACTGGAGTAATAATAAATATTTTTGTCTTACACTGATTAACCATGTCAAAGTTTGTCATTTAAAACATATAAAAAGCACCTGCAGATCGGCTAATGGCATTTGAAACAGGCATGATTGAAGTTTTTTAGTTATCACCACTGTAGGAATTTATGTTGTTTGTCTTATTTTCCTGTCTTATTTTGACTTACTCCTGAAACAACTTGTGCCATTTTCTGTTGTTTTTTTACATGCGATGCATATTTGCCATCCATACTCCAAGCATTAATCAACTTATTCAATATAAATCAATTTTCTAATGTAACCCTAATATAACTGAGAAAACACCACTATTAAAGGTCACATTTATATGATGTCATAATTTTACAAAGTAATTTACAGTATTTCAAATATACAAAAACACTAAACACTAAAGTATTTTGATACAAAATACTAAGCCATTATCATCGACCCTATATCAAATACAAATGACAGAATGCTGCTTTGTGTTTAAAATACATATTTGAAATACATATATCATAAATACTGCCCAACCCTGGTAGGTAGATTGGTTGGATGGTAGGTAGATAGAGCGAGCCCAATGCATTTTCCCAAATATTACGTTTTATTCAATATTAAAATTGTAAGTACACATTTAATGAAAGTTAAATGTTATTAAATGGTAAACTTACAATGTATTTAAACAACATTGTTATTGTACATATTGAGAACAGAATATTTTATCAGTCATTTGAACTCATTTTATACTACAATTTTTGCAGATTTAACATAATTTTAAGGCATCATTACTGACAATTGATTTTAATCGATTTTTTTTTCAAATCTCCTTTTTTTCTGGAAAAGAAAAGAAGGCATGTGAGTTAGAAACAACGTGAAAATGTGTGTACTAAATAAATTATGGCAGTCTTTCTAGATCAGGGGTGTCAAACTCAATTCCTGGAGGGCCGAAGCCTTGCACAGTTTAGTTCCAACCCTGCTCCAACACACTTACCTGTAGGTTTCAAACAAGCCTGAAGGACTCAATTAGTTTGATCAGGTGTGTTTAATTAGGGTTGGAACTAAACTGTGCAGAGCTGCGGCCCTTTTGGAACTGAGTTTGACACCTGTGTTCTAGATGAACAGTTCAATATGTTCTATTTGCAATTGCGCTATTTTGCCAATGGGGGGCGAAAATGAACAGTATATGAATTCATTCATTCAGGCATGCAGTTTTATTGGTGTAACTTTAATGTGATAGGCTGCTCTGGGTTTATAGCCAGATATTTTCATTCATACAGACAACTTTAAGGTTGTAAGTTTTGGAATTGTGCAGGGTGGTATTAACTGCAGGACACAATAAATAACCACAGTAAAAGCCCAGTTTAGCAACGCGGGTGTTCAGCATTTGTTGAGGTTTCTTCTTTGAGATCTCAATGGTAGTTATCATCCTTTCAACTATGCCTCCAGTACACAGCATATAAAATGATGTGTTGAGATTGGCATGGGTGTTTTTATTTTGGCATTACAATCCCTGAACCTCTTGATATCTTTGGGCACACACCAGCTCTCATGCTGTTATGAAAGTTATTTATAGCTTTTGGTAATACTTTATCTTTAAAAGGACATGAGATTAAACCACTCCTGAAATAGCTGCTGTTTTCCCACACATATATATTATGTGCGAGTGTAGTGAGAGACAGTGTTTCTTTTTTTATTCAGGTGTTCAGAGAAGTAAAGCGCTTGGGATGCTGAATATTACATAATATATATAAAGAATTAAAGACATTTATTTTATCACAAAACATTTCAAGTGCAAAACTGGGTCATGTACTTTTTCTGGAATGCTAAATGTTATTCCTTGCAGTCCAAATGGATTAAACATGCCTTTGAATCTTAGGAAGAGTTTAATATTTCACAATTGATTGTTTGGTTCATTAAGTGCAAAATCAGGATAGGTGAAGCACATTTTTTCTATTTTGTATTATATTTATGAGTAACATGTTTAAATGGCTTAAGGACACAAATTGGAAGGCAAAGTATCTTGGCATTGTGCTCGTGCTTATGTGATTTTACCCATGTTGATATAAGAGGAATTGTTTAAACTGACTGAAACGTAGACTCGTCTGAAAATTTGGATCAGATTTTATGACTTAATAAATATATTACAGCAGAATAGCTCCTAAATTTTAGACGTTAAAGCATAAGTAGATTTGTGATTGCCATTATTTATGCCATTTTTTATTTGTTTCTCCTTCATAAGTGTCTTTGGATAAATTAGCCAAATTTTTAAATGCAATTTGCAAATGTAATATAAATCTATTAAGAGTGAGAAAAACGAAAATGAACAAACAGCATACAGTTGAAGTCAGAATTATTAGCCCCTCGTTTAATTTATACTATTTCTTTTTAAAATATTTCTCAAATGATGTTTAACAGAGCAAGGAAATTTTCACAGTATGTCTGATAATATTCTTCTTCTGGAGAAAGTCTTTTTTGTTTTATTTCGGCTTGAATACGAGCAGTTTTTAATGTTTTTAAATCAATTTTATGGGCAAAATTATTAGGCCCTTTAAGCTCATTTTTTTCGATAGTCTACAGATCAAACCATCGTTATACAATGACTTGCCTAATAACCCTAACCTGCCTAGTTAACCTAATAAACCTAGTAAAGCCTTTAAATGTCACTTTAAACTGAATATTGAATGTCTTGAAAAATATCTAGTGAAATATTATTTACCGTCATCATAGCAAAGATTAAATAAATCAGTTATTAGAAATGAGTTATTAAAACTATTATGTGTAGAAATGGGTTGACAAAATCTGCTCTTAAATAAACAGAAATGGGGGGAGTGGCGGAGGGTGGCTAATAATTCAAGAGGGCTAATAATTCTGACTTCAACTGTATATAACACAATAACTAATGTGAAGATTAATCCATCAATCAAGTCTTTTAATGCACAGTGTTGACTTTTCCCCATTTTTATTGTTTCCCGTCATTGTGTGAATCAGCTTTCCATTTCCCAGTTAGCCTCTGTGGAAAATGTAACAGCACTCGCTGCTCTCATTTTCTGCTTTGCATCGTGGGTCACGGTATGATGGTAACTATTCACTCCCACTGAGAGCTTAACCAATGCCTCAGTTTTCACTTACTCAGGGCATTTATCACTCAAACCCGTTGTTTGCTTTGCATGTAAAAGCAACTGCCCTCATGTCTTTATAGCATCAGTAATACATTTTGAGTCTGAAGATTTAATTGAACAAACCAAGACAAACATGGGAATTAAAAGACAACAGTTCTCCAAATAGTGGAAAGTTCAGTAGAATCACACCACTGAAATGCTAAACACATCTGTGCCGCTGAGAACAATTAGTAACATTAAAAGATGAGCTCTTCAGACATTTATTTACTTTGATTCTTTGCCATGTTTTCACTCAAATGCATAGAGTCCCCATATGGCCCTCAACCTGAACTACAGATTATTTTCCCCACATATTTCAGACATGCATTCTCTCAAAGCAGTGACAGAAACTGCAACTCCATAATCTTCTCGCATCTGTTTCTTTTCAGACAGGAAAAAAAAAAAAACAGCCCTAGAGAGAATCTGTGGTACTATGCTTACCCTTCCCCCTCTGAAAAAAATGCTTTTCTAATCTTTCAGTCACCTACGGTCAATGTTCTCTCTAGACATATAGATCACATGACTAACTTTCTGTGCAAATGCATGTTTTAAATTTTTAGACTGTAGACGTTTATCTTTGTGCAAGATGTTGAAGATTTATTTTGAGCTACAAATGAGCATGTGAGTTCTATGTGGTCGCTTTTCCGAAAATATAGAAATTTATGCTATCTATTTAAAAAAACATAATAAGATATTTAATCATATTTATTTTATTCTAATTTTTACATTCATTATCAATTTCAGAGCCCACTTTTTATTTCTGAAGAGAACTGAACCGAGATTGCTTTCTTGTTAATCAGCACATGGAGTCAATTAAAACCAGAATCAATGTCTTTGACCGATTTAAATGGCATATTTTTTCAGGGGTTTGTATGTGCAAATAGAGCAGTTTAAACACAATCATTTTACAAAGCAACAGTTTAATTATTTGTATAAAATGAATGCAGTAAAGGGCCCATAAATGTGCTACTTCAGTAACACAATAACAAAAGCAAAGAAATAACCACATCAACAAGTAATAAAAAACACGCATTTTTCTTGAGACATACTCAAACCCTGGGTAGAAAATATTACTTATTGATTTAGAAGTTTTTAAAAGTAACCATGCAAAGGTAATGAAATTCTGCTGTGGCGTCCCCTGACAAAGCAGGGAATTAAAGCCTAATGAAAGTAATCATCCAAAGGTAAAAAGTGGACATTAGACAAAAATAGGTGTAATAAAAAAGCCAATTCATGACCTGTTAATAATATTGTTGCATGTAGCTTAACTCAGGGGCTTCCAAAGTTTTCAGCTTGTGACTTTCTAAATAACAATTCCACTGACACACGACCCACTATCCTATGAGGTGGTTTTAAACATACAAACTTTGCACACAACTCCAATAGACCTAAATAAACACTAGCATAGAGTATGCAACAGTTTAACAACTATATCATTTTTATGGCCATTATTTGTTTAATTTAATATTAACCTCACTTAACAAGACTGGTGGGCACAATGTTTACAGCACAATTCTATTCTTAGTTTAATTTTGATGACTCCCGCTTGGAGATCCTCCATGTTTAGTCGTGGCCTTTTTTTAATGTATGTGAGTGCCGTAAAGGTGTCAAAGTTTAACATTGTGTTGTAGAATCAATCTTCTGGAACTGTTGCTATCGATGTGTTGTTAACGCAAGTGGAAAAAACAATCCAAATGCTGATGGCTTTTTTTTTTTTGCATGTTGTTTTTTAATGTTTTAATTTTTAACTATTAAATACTATTTTTCTAGAATTATTTTGTAGTTTAAGGATAAAATATGGTAACTTTAATAGTTTATTAAATGGATTAGATTTTTGAAAGTGACCAAGCGACACCCCCTCATTTTTCCACCACCCTTCACGGCGTCCCGACCCCCCATTTTGGGAACCACAGGCTTAATGTGACAGTTCTTTTAATCTATCACGGAACACTTTTTATATTTCATTCATTTTTAAAACAATACTATAATAGCGGCTTAAGATTAAAACTTTAGAAAACTGGTTTCAAAGTTAAAGTTTTCGAAAAATAGTACCATTGTTGTCTGAGCGTAATTGTGTTTATGAAATGTGTTCATGTCAATGTACATGTTGTTATAACTTTGAGATCCTAAACATACTAAAATCAAATTTCAGAAACGCTAAAATTGTGGAAACAAATAGTTTGTTTTTAGCTGAACTATTAGACATCTGTGATTGTGTGCATATTTAATGGACAAACATCAAACTCATCAATGAATAAAAAAAATCAATATGTACTTTTATTTATCATGATTCAATTAAAAAAGTACTCATAAAACACAATACGTAAACATCAGCTGTTCTGATTGAACTGAAAGAATCTGTAATTGTGACAGCATGATAAAGTTTCACCTCTCTTGTAGTCTGAATTTTGCTTGGAAAACCATTTGTTCACAACATTTTTTTTAAAAGAACGAAAAAATTCCCAGCAGCATCACAGTTTAATTCAGACGAATGATCTCAAATTTCTTGTGCCCTCTGTAAGGTCTAGGCCCCTCCTCTTCATCTATCTCAGCAGTGAGCTCAAGAGGTGTGTTGCCTGCCAAGTCAGTGTCAGGAAGGTTGCCCAGCTGCTTGTCTTTAGGACACTCCGCGTTGTATGTCTTCACATAGTTTTCTACCGGCCAACCACGAAACTCTTCTGGTTCACTGCACACTAGACCTGTGTGGGATACATCAGGGTGATGTTTCAGCCAGTAGATCAAGTAATGGATGTTGTAATCACAAATCCAGGGATTGTCCCCTAGTGACAGCCTCTTCAGGAAGTACAGGTCCTCCAAAACGCCATATTGAAAATATCGCAAGCTATTGTTGGACAGATCCAGTTCTCCCAAGTACAGCAGGCCTGTAAAAGCAGCTACCGAAACAGAAAAAACAAAAAATAAACAATAAGTACAAAGACGTTACACTCTTATGTTCAAAAACATTTTGATATCTAAAAGTAATAATAAAAAACAACAACAAAAATAATAAAATATTTGAGGACAAAGTACAAATTAATCTGTATTGACTGCATGTTTTATTTTACCAAAATTATGTAAACTTATAATACAAAACACGCTATACAGATTTCTGGTAATGTAATTTTATAAATAAAATAAATCGATATAATTATTTTCATGTTTTTTAAATGGTCTCTGATGCTGTCAACAACACTTATAAGTTGCTTAAAAGCTTAGTTCACCCCAAAATGAAAATTCTGTCATCATTTACTCAAGCCATTCCAAACCCAGTTTGATTCATCTTCAGAACAAATTATTATATTTTTTATAAAATGTAAGAGATTTCTTCCATGTCGAATATTCACACAAAATTGTCATGGCAAAAGTATATAAAGAAATAATAAAAATAATTAATGTGAATGAACTTAACTCTTAACTACAATCACTGTCAATGTTAATCAGATGTAATTTCAAAGCTCACAAAAAGATAACCTCATTGCTTTTTAAACACAAAGCAAACATGCTTGAGCGTGCGTGATCAAATTTAAATGCTGTTCATTGATTATTTTTTAGAACAAAAGCCTAAAAAACCCTGTTAATCATTACATGGTATGATTAGTATCTCTGATACTATCTTTGGGGGCCATAAAAATATGTTGTCCCTTAGAATTGTTTTAACTTACCCCCGCTTATCGGCGCCTCTGCCTATAGAATGTAATGAAAATGACAACTGGCACGATTCCACAGTCAGTCATGTTATTATCATCAACTACTTTTTTGATAAATACCCGCAATCCAGTTGTGCCTTTAAGTTCTTCAGTTAGGATATACGTCTAAATGAATTAACACTGAAGTAAATGCAGTCTGCTTTCTAAGCTGTCAACAGAAGGAAGACTTCGGCTCCTGAGTCAGTGTTATCATCCCTCTCTAGGGATCCATTAGTCGACCCACCCTGCTGGTCTGTTCATCAGAGCCCAACTGACTGTGATTAAGTGCATTTTTTAAGGCAGTTTAGAAAGGCTTAAGTGTCTTATAATTATAGCAACATCAGCAAGTACTCGGTTTTTGTTTGTATTTCTCTCTATGGTGAGAGAAAGACTATAATGTGAATTCTGTGTATGGCAACAAACGTTTGCAGAAGCCTTTTTGGGACTCAATCGTAAAAAATGCAGGAAAGGGAATCCAGTGGTCAGTTGATTAAACATATGTCATTTAAAATTACTTTGAGGAAATTTGAAATGGATTTGAATAACCAAACATAGTGGAGTGTACAGATCTGACAGACTCTAGAAATAAAATTGAACGAAAACAGATTTAAACATTCATAGTTTCTTGGTAAACCTTTATAATAGCCATCATTAAGATCATTAGCAAATGTCTAATCAAATTATACATCATCTCAAGAGATTCTATTTGTTGAAAACAGGCTGTAAAGTCCTTTTGTATTTCATAGAAGAAAGATTACAGGATTCCAAAAGCTGCTAAATGCAACTACTCAGCAAGAAACTGCCTACAAATGTTTACAAGTAATTGTATTCAGTGAACCCCCTGCTCTGTTTACTTTAATTGCTTGAAAGGCTTGAATTTTAACATGCTGATCTTTATTGCTGTCTCCACAATAACAAATGTTTATAGTTGTGGTGCATAGTTGAGGCACACTTTGATTTTCCTCATGACTTCTTTTCTTTACTTCCCCCAAAACCCCTCATTGTAATTATTTTAGGAATGATCATGGGACTCTGAAACCCTTCTACTTGTGGAAGGCATTGATTCCTTCACTGCAATTCATACAGCCCTCATGACAAAATTAACCACTATTGTAATTGATTGTAAATACTATCGTGTTTTTGAATCATACTATGGTAAAGTGTTATTAAACCGTATATATTATAGGATTTACAACAGTATTTTATAATGAGTACTATTAACTGTGGCGAGGCAGTGGCGCAGTAGGTAGTGCTGTCGCCTCACAGCAAGAAGGTTGCTGGTTCAAACCTCGGCTCAGTTGGCGTTTCTGTGTGGAGTTTGCATGTTCTCCCTGCCTTCGCGTGGGTTTCCTCCGGGTGCTCCGGTTTCCCCCACAGTCCAAAGTCATGTGGTACAGGTGAATTGGGTAGGCTAACTTGTCCGTAGTGTATGAGTGTGTGTGTGTGGATGTTTCACAGAGATGGGTTGTGGCTGGAAGGGCATACGCTGCGGAAAAAAAACTTGCTGGATAAGTTGGCGGTTCATTCCGCTGTGGCGACCCCTGATTAATAAAGGGACTAAGCTGACAAGAAAATGAATGAATGCTATTAACTGTATAGTGAACAGAAAACTGTGATAAATAATGCAGTATAGTATAGTTTTTACTACCGTAAACTGCAGTGTATTTTAATACTAAATTCCTTTGTATAGCTATAACTATTTATATGTTATAAAGCTGTATTATTACAGCAACTATTCTTGTTCAAAAGGAATAAAGTACTTTAAATTACTATGGTATTTTTTTCAAATGGGAGTACATAGGGCAAAAGTGGATTTTTCCACTTTTTTTTTTTTTTTTTGGAAAATAATGTTTTCTAAGTGACATACCATGGATTTTCTAGCCAACATACCAGGTGACTTAATGTTTCTTGCACTTTATCCATCATTCTTTATCCTTTTAACTTTAAAAAAAGCCCACAACTCACCTGTGTCGATGCTTTCCAGACTGTTTCCACTCAGGTTCAAGAGCTTAAGCTCTTTAACGTTGACAAACTCCTTCTGTCTCAGTTGCTTGATGGTGTTTCTGGATAAATCCAATTTCACAATATCCAGAGGGATGTCAGCCGGCACAGTTTTAAGATCTGTGGAAGAGAGAGTCAAATCACTGTAATTACGTAGGCCTTTGACAACAGCTCTTTCATAATTAGCACGGTTTGACTGATTGACAGTGCATTGCATCCAGCAACAAATGCTGTTTCACGCTTTGATTCTCAAAGGAATATTGTGTTGTACAAAATTCCCCATGTGCTTACAAAGTACTTTGATGAGCTTTCTATATTTCCAAATGATTTCCAGCAGGCTAACCATACATGGAAACATCTGTCATGACAATTGTTGAAAGTTCTGAACAGTTGCCTCCTCGTAGGTGGTCTTTTAACGTCATTTTCTAAGACACTTACTGTACTAGTGATGGTATTCAAACTAAGTAGTATCTGTATATGGATTTTAAATTGTACGCAAAGCATGTGTGACAGTAATCGTTGCGATGGGAGCACTATTTATTTTGGAAGATTCTGGGCACTCGAAAGCAACACTTTAGCAGGCTCCAGCAAACCATGCCTGGCCATATTTATTTATATCACCACGGAGAAAGCTATTGAAGCCGTACACATGGCACACGTTTTGTGGCAACACTCAAAACTCTGTGAGGCATCACTGTCTGTGTTATATTCGGAAATGTTATCGTGGGACTCGTCAGCTTGACGTGCAAAAGCAATGCAGCATGCAGAACAGATGCAGCTGCACTTCCTGCTTGAACCCGCCAGAGCACCTGTTTCAAACCCCAGAGCACCTTCAACAAGAGATCTCGCTTAGATTTTACGTTTAACAATTTATATTAACAGAGATTTTATCCACAGCTACTCCTAGAGTAGATTTTACACTATTTGACTGTGTCTCAGGGACCTGGAGACTAAATTGTCTCCAAAAAATGATCCTGCCGTTATTCTTGTGACTAACTAATTCAGGGAAAAGCCTTCCCAGAAGCTGAGATCACTAATACTTGGCTTTCAGCCTTCTGCTCTTGCCACAACATTCCTGTAAGGGCTTTCTGCAATTAATACTGACAAAAGAAATTTCCAGTTATCCCTTAGGTCCCGAAAGAGATGATGTAACGCTATAAAAGTGTGACTTTTTTGTTTGGTGGAGTGTTTCAGAATGCCCCCCTCAACTCCAGACTGCTGACTCACTATTTCTGAACAAGTCCAAATCCCACTGACTTCAAAACCCATCTGACTTCATTTATTTCACATTGACTGTTTTGTATCACGCACGTTTTGCTTGCCTCATCTAACCCTCATGACTTTGTCTTTGGCTTGACTGTATTCAGTCTTGTCAGGGTTGTCAAAACACATTTAGCTCATTTTTCAAAACAAGGAACCTAACTTTATAAGATGGAGAGCTCAAGAATCATGTGCTGAAAATGTGTTTTTTTATGTATATTTATAATGTATATAATGTATATTTGTAGTTTTTACAGATACATTTATTAACAGAAACTGTCAGAGTTAAGCATATGTCTCATGATCACCAGCGATCTAGTAGCTGCAGATCGCTTAAGGACTACAAACCCGCCATTTATAGACTACAAGACACAGTCATACAACAAACACACCTGGATACAGATCAAGACTGATTACACTCTCACAGCTGAAGCTGCTCAAGGACTGATGAATGCACTACATAAGGAGCACCAACATTGTTGCTGAGTCTTGTTATCTGTTAAGTGACACTGACAATAGGGGTGAGGATCCAAATGCAGGGTTTTATTGACAGAATGGTCAGACAAGCAATGATCAACACAGGAGCAAACAGATGTATGAGGGCAACCCAGAGTCGTAGTCGAAATAGCAGGCAAATGGTAAGAAGGCAGGCAGCATACAGGAATAATCAAACAAAACAAAGCAAAGCAAAGGTTCAAAATCCAGAAGGCAAGGCAAGGAAAACGCTTTGTAATGTCACTTAACAGACACTCAGCAACAGTGTTTGTGCTCCTTATGTTGTACATTCATCAGTCCTTGAGCAGTTTCAGCTGTGAGAGTGTAATCAGTCTTGATCTGGATCCAGGTGTGTGTGTGTGTGTGTTATATGACTGGGTCTTGTAGTCCATAAATGGTGGATTTGTAGTCCTTAAGTGATCTGCAGCTAGATCGCTGGTGATCATGACATAATGAATTAAAAATATTTTAGCAGCGAGCAACATGCTTGGGATGGGCTCCTCGGGAAAATAACTGGGTTTTACTGATGGGTTAATAGTGTAATTTTAAATGTAATTACAGAAAATAGTTACAGTTGTATTACATGCAGATATGTAATCAAGCATAAGTACAATGTAAAAACCTGTAAATACACAATAAGAATATTGTAACAAAAGATTAATTACAGTGTAAGTACGTATTAGTTAAGGCCACTTAATATAAAGTGGGACCAGAAACCTTTTTTTGCAGTGTCAAAGAGCTCTTTTACAGAATGTCTGTCTTTTTATGAATGAAATCGGAGAGATGCTTTCTTTGTCATATCTTACAGCCAGCGTTTCATTAAAGCCCCCTCTTGTCCCAAATTGTTCCCCAAAATGCTACAAGACATGCATAAAACACAGACCAGCACTGTCCTCGGATTCCCATGGAGATTCACATGCATTGCCATAGCAATGTGGTATTTCCTATAAGCTTTTGGAAGATGAATGAGCCTTTGAAAGACAGTCACAGATCTTATTTGAGCGTTGCTTTAGTTTTGCTGAGACTTTTGAAAAATAATACAGAGATTCAAGTTTCAGAAAAGTTACGGTGTCTTGATAACAGTCTGAATATGGCATTAATGTGTCCCAAGAGAAGGGTCTCCAGATGTTGTAGCTGGAAAGATACTCATTTTCTTTTTCTCTAGTTCTCTGCATCTTATATTTCATGTTAGCAGACGTTTGTTCCACTCTGCTGTGAATTAGAGAATTTCACCACATGTTGAGTCAGCAGAAATGATTAATGTTTCACAAATCTCTCTTCAGAAATTAATAATATATCATATGTCCATTGAAAGATAAAGTTGACAAAAATTGTCATTTTTCGTCAGTTTTACAGCATGTCTTTGTATGTTTTTTTAAAGAATTAGTTAACCTAAATTTAAACGTAGTTATTAAATTATCTCTCTCACTCAAGCCCCCAAGAGCTTTGTTCATCATTAAAACACAAATGAAGATATTTTAGATAAAATCAGAGAGCTCCCTCATCCTCCATAGACAGTTGTTCAAAGTCCAGAAAAAATACCAAAAACATTGTCAAAACATTGCATTTGACTTCAGTATTTCAACTATAATAATACAAAGCTCTAAAAAAATTGTGTGCCAAAAGAACTGTAAATAAATACTGTAAATGATTAAAATGGAGTTTCTAGGGATCTGAGGAAAGCATTACTCATTGTGAGTGCATATTGTGAAACACTTTGCCATAACCCTATTTGAAAAGTTTAAATTTGCTTGAAAAAACACACATTTTTAAACCAAACCCCTTCATCTTTGTGTCAGACTTAATTACTTAATTGCATTTCATTTGGCTGCATGCCTTCTTTACAGAAAACACTGTATGCACCATTTTGGTCACCGTGGTTTTACCAAATTAGTTTATACATGATTGGATTTTCCTAAACAAGCATAATGTTTTGTCACTTTACAGCCACAAATGTATCTCACTCCCCCTTCTACAAGAGAAAACTGACAATATAGAGCAATCGCTTTCTCACCTCTGTTCCTGCAGTCCATGCGGGGTACAGGATGCATGTAGGTGTGGCATAAAGAGGTTGCGTCAGACTTTTTTTGGGGAGCCGGTAGTTGCTGATTCTCTGGATCCAAAATTGCTTCTTTCTCCTGCTCAGGGGAGCAAAGCATCTCTGCATCCAGCTTCTTCAGTTGCCTCCCTGAGAATTCCCTAGGCTCTGCACAGCGTGCATAATTGCCAATGTTACGATTACTGGGCACTTGAATGAATCTAACCAGGCTGTCCAGCTGGCAGTCACACCTCCAGGGATTATCATGGAGCCGCAAGTACTTGAGCTGTGGCATTGGGATCAGCATGCCTTCGCTCGCCACCTGCAGACGGTTGTGTTGCAACAATAAAGTGGTGAGCTTGCTCAGGCCGTCAAATGCTCCATCATCAATGCGGGAGATTTCATTCTGCTGGAGATCAAGGCTTTTTAGGTTTCGGAAGTGACTAAAGGTATTGTCTCGCAGCACCTGAATCCTATTGCGTGCCAGCAGAAGGTGGTGAATGTCCTCAGGCCAGCCCAGTAGTACAGCTGTCAAGTGGCGCTCTTGGCAGTCAAAGTACTTTTCCCCATTGACTAAAGTTTCCTTGCAGTCTGCAGCAAACCTTTTAGTGGTATGGTCTCGACTCCGTACTCGACGCGCCCTTCCACCCTTTCGTGCCTCGGCTGCCCAGACCACCAGGCACAGCAGCAGCAGACCGCAGAGCAGCCGCATGGCAAAAAGCAGCAGCTGGGTTAACCAGTCAAGTGGAGTCTCAGCACAATCTCAATAAACCGAGAGCTTGTTTAATCAGAGTGAGGAGGTGCCGCTACAGTCCCTGAGAAAAGGCAAACAAAATGTTAGTACCTAAACAACCAAGAATGCAAACACAAGTGAAAAGAACCTTTGTCTTGCAGTTAATTCTTGTAAAATCAGTGCAGGTTAAACTTAAACTATAAAGAAGTATTTTATCTTCTTGACCACATTATAATTTAATGTTACTTTTGTCACATTAATAACAGTGCTGCATATAATGACAATGGCGGATCCTCTTTCACACATATCTGCAAAAGCTCCTACATATACAAAAGTAGTTGCTGAAGCACATCTGGTTCTAGTATCTGCCATTGTTTTCTTGGTTGTCAAGTATTCTTGCAGAATGTGAAACACACACATTTTATAAAATCACATTTTTTTGTAGTTTACACAGAGATCAACAGTCTTATTGTCCAAATAATTAAACTTGTAACTTTTACCATCCCACTGAATGGATGTTTTCAGTACATTAATTAATTTATTGATTATCGTCAACAACTTTAGAATATGCATATATTATATAGAATTTTTAATCTCTAAAATGGGGTAACAGTTAAACGTTAGTTTACCCAAAAAATTAGGTGGTTATTAATTTCCCACCCTCAGATTGTTCCAAAACCTTCAATTGTCTTAGAATCACAAATTAAGATATTTTCAATGAAATCCGAGAGCTCCAAGATCCTCCATAAATAGCAAAGTCCTGGTGCAACATCCTGAAAAACAATCTCCTCAAAACAGACCATATGTCCTAAGTGGTACTGGAAACTAATCAAGCTACAATAATACTTTTGCACACACATAAAAAACTAAAATTATTACTTTATTCAACAATTTCTTCTTTTCTGTGAATTCATTAATGAAAACCCTAGAAGGAAATATGAAAATAAACACATTCTATAGTGAATGTAACCGTGATATATTTGGATTAGAATAAGTGTTAAATTACTGAAATAAATGCACATCTAGGGCCTGTACCATAAAGGAAGATTAACAAGCTAGCCAACAATTTCTTCTCCTCCTTGTCAGTATAGAGCGTGTGTTCATATGAGCTGCACTCTGTCACAATTGCTGATTTAGTCCTCAGATGCTTTTAAGCTTTGTTTCAAAAAGAGGAACGGAGCACCCTATACTGACACTGAAGAGAAGAAACTTTAATTTAGTCATTATTTGTATTGTCGTAAAGTATTCTCGTATCTGGATAATATTCTGGTTGTTTCACTGAAGACACATAAACTGTTTTGAGGATTTTTTATTTATTTATTTTTTGTCAGGACCATTGCTTTCTTTGGAAAGTCAGAGAGCTCTCAAATTTTATCCAAAATATTTTATCTATGTTACGAAGATGAACAAAGGTCTCAAGGGTTTGGAACCACTTGATAAGTAACTTGAGTTTTATGTAAACTATCCATTTCTAAATTTAGTTGCTTTATTTTTAGGCCCCAAAAGTGTAAATGAACAACCATAAAAATTTAAAACTCTGTAGTGTAAATGTACCCTTCGACACATATTCATTAATGAAAACCCTAGAAGGAAATATAAAAATAAACACATTCTTTAGTCAATGTAACCATGATATAATTTGGGTTAGAATAAGTGTTAAATTTCTGAAATAAATGCACATCTAGGGCCTGTACCATAAAGGAAGATTAACAAGCTAGCCAGTTAAGTTTTAGTTTAGTTTCCACCAACTCTGTATTTTAGGTATATGTAGCTCAGCTCCTCCTTAATGCAATGGGATCGAAGAGTGATTAAAGTCAAGCTCCCTTCATTTTAGCTAAAACCCAAGATTGGTGCAAACTATACTGAAACTTATGTGACTAGCCAGCTAATCCAGCTTGATGGTACAGGCTCCTGACATCATGGCTGAATTTTTTACCCTGGCTATGCATTAAAGTTCAGCAATTTAATAGTCCATCATAAATAGGTCCTTAGAGTAGGAAAATGTCTTAAAATTAATTACTGTATGTCAAGGATCATGACTGCGTAATGTTTTAATTACAATTGAAAATGATCTAATGCATTTGGATGAATGATTTCCCCAGTGTTTTCATAAAAACCGAACAAACTACAACCCTATTTCTGGCCTAATCCCTTTCACGAGCTCACGCCCTGCTAAGTCAATATTTGCTTTGTGGGGAGACATTTTACATTTTTTATTATTATATAATAACAATGACAAATAAGTGATCTTTATTTCCTTGATGTTTTCTTCTCTCGATTTGCTCGTGTATTAGAGTTACAATAACCTCCCATAAACTTGGCTCTTAGATTTGTAGTGCTGTGTGCTGTGCTCCCATTTTTACTGTGCGAAAACTGTAATCCAATTGTTGATTGACTTCCTCAAAAGTATACAGACTGTGGCTCTGTAGCGCTCGCAAAACATTGCTCTGTTTATTTTGAGTGGTCCAGCGTGTCAATTAAGATGAATGGGAAGGCTAACAGATACTTTCACAATCTGTTATGAATATGAGACAACAGTTTGCTATTTTGAGCACGCCTTTAATTCATCAACAAAAGAAACGGGGTGAGCTGGAAGGCCAGCGCAATCATTAAACTGTGATGCTGTAGTGTACTTTACCAGCCTGATCTTTTTGCTGAATATCTTCCTAAAATAAATTATGAAAAGACTGCTGGTAACCATTCACAACTCTAGCATGCATTGGTCCTTCACACTTGCTGATATCAGTAAAAATCAGTAATTCACAGATGGATTTTGGGGCTTCGGGGCTTTCCCTGTATTTCAAGACACTGTAAAATTACTAACAGGTCTTGGCAAGACTTGTACCTCTGACAAGCAGCACTCTTCCAGTTCATAGTTACGTTATTTTGCAGCTATTTTCACAGATGTAATATGTAATTAAATTGTCAGTTTTTTATTTGCAGGAATAGTTCCATGTTCTCTCTTTCCAGTGACAAAATGGTAAAACTAAGACATCATGTGAACATGCTGTGTGATAATCACAAAACACTTTTTTATGTTTTATGTTTTTTTCTTTTTCTATTTTCTAAAGCCATTTTCTTTAATCATGCGCCAGTTGGCCAATTTAGATGTAATGCATTGCTGTACAAAGGTGCATTTCCCAAGGCTTTACTATGCAGTTCACCTTACATAATACTTACATAATACTGTGCTTTTATACTTGCATCAAACTAAAAGCTGTAGAGTAAAATTTATATGGAATAAAAGATATAGATCAAATTTATTTCATATGAAGGGCCAGAAAACTATATTACATTAAAGTTTCCATGGGTAATATCTTAATTTATTTCATAATATTTTAAAATAGATAGAAACTTTTTAAATGATAACTTATTGGAATACAAAAAACAGAAACAATCATAACACAGTGGAGTTCAATGCTGTTCAATGCTGAATACACTAGTCAAGCTTTGAATTGATTTGCTCACCAAAGTCTCTGCATTGTCGAGTGACAGTATGCACATTTAAACAAAATCTAATTAATTTACGCAATTTACTTAAAACATTAATTTCAGCTTTAACATTAACACAAATAAAGTGTTACATTAGATTTGACAATCTCAAAACATCCCCATCATTCTCCTTCTCCTTTCAGATGGGATGGCGGGCCAAATCAAAGGTTACCATGGGCCAACTTGGGCCTGCGGGTCCTAGTTTTTAGCGTCTCTGGTATAGGTTAAAACAAATGTGAGTTCGCATATTGTCATACTTATGTTTTTAGATGAGTTTTGCCAGTAAGTTTGTCTTCAGATCAGATATATAATGATACTGATGCTGAAATTTCTTGACAACATAAAAACAACAAGAAGATGTTTGTACTTTCAAAATTAGGTCACGTTATCTTTTGTAGTAAGATCAAAAAATGTTGATAACTATATGAAATGGAGCTGACGTGTTTGGAGTTCATGGACAGGACCATGCCTCACTTCATTCAATCATCTACTCCCTAAATTTATTTAAGGCAGAACAGCCTGCTAGCACTGTTCATCTCATTTTCTCAAATTCACCTTTACTCATTCTATTTCATTGTTTCCCATTTACAATCCTTATAACCCTCTCATCCCTCCTAGGTTCAATGTGGGGTGAAAGATGGGGGTCACTCTACCAAAATATTACAGAGATGGTACCCTCATTCTGAGTCTCTAGCATCATTGTAGGACATTCAAACCAACCTACCTACCTACTACCTACATTATTATCTTACTCCCATTTCCCTTCATCCCATTGTCCCCTTACCATCCCTCCTCCATCCCTTTTCATCTCTACATCCATACAATAAAGTCCATGCTGGTGAATATGTTATGATCTCTGAAATGAAAATGATCTCTCGTCATTGAAAAAAGGACACAATTATGAAGAAATAGTATTTATATAATGATCACATTATTATTTAAGGCAACACAAGACAAAATTATGATTCAGTAGCATTATACAATGACAGTTAGCTTCTAAAATTTGATGATAAAAATGCAGGTTAACTCCAGTTATAACAGGAGCCTGCTGTGGAGAAAGCTGGCTCTGAGAATTTCTAATGAAGCAGATATTAACAGGAAGCAGTCAGCATTTCAGGTGAATGATCCAGCATAAAGCAAGCCTTGTGTGAGACTGTGGTTGCCACCATGACATTAGTTTACTTCAATAATAGAAGGAAAGAAGAAGGAAGAGATGGAAAACGTCAATGGGAAATGGAGCAGAACGCAGGCACTGTTCACTGTCCAACATCAGAGGGGGAGTGTGTATTTTCTTTTCATCTCCTTTCCTTTTTTTAATTTCCCATGCCACCCATATTCTAGGTCACCCTGCGTGTTTGAAAATAAATGATTCTGATTAGTTCAGGTCTAAAGAAAAGTTTTTCAGGTTAGAAACCTTGAAAGAGAGAGAATTCAGCCCCCTTCCTCGCAGTGTGTCTGTGAGAGAACACGCTTACATGGCCAGCAGTGCTTAATTAAAACCATTTGAACTTCCTGCCCGGGGAGGAAAAGACTCATTTTTTACATCTATCAAAGAGTTTTCCTGTACTTAGCTTTAAAATGATGTAATGATCAAATCTCGTTTTTCAAATAAAAAACTTACTGAGTATATTTACACAGACGAACCTCTGGACTCACACTGACCAAAATCAATAATTTGATTTTTTTTAACAAAAGTCCACAAGCATGCATTTTTGACTCATCAGCCAGAATTTCTTTCTGGAACAAGCATGTGGAATTGGATGGTGCATCTTGACACAATTGCTAAACAAAATTTTAATACAAACGGGCTTCAGTCAATGCTCAAGTCCCAGCCAAAATCAAGCATGCGAACTCTCTGTTACAAAACTGCAGTCCATTCAATAGAGCAGACATACTGTCTGTCCATCTGCACTGGCACTAAGAGAAAGGCTAACCATTCAGACATGCAAACATGGACAAGTTTAATGTAAGGCATCAATTACCTGTACACAGGGGAATGCATCCAAAATCTCATCCAATCTGTATATGTCCTGTTTGCTGAGCTTTTTGTCCTGTCATGAGCTTTTTGCAGGGCTGGATGCCTGAACTTAGCGTGCCGTTCGGTCTGACTGTATGTGTGTGTATGTGCACGAGCATATGTGTGTGTGCGAGAGAAGTTCAGTGCAGCCCCCAAGCTTGTGCTTGGTTTTAAATTACACGCTGTGCAGGAGAGCAGACCCACATGTCCCTGTTACAACTGTACCGCCTCCAATCTTCCAGCACTTTTAGAGCCTCTTTATCATTCTGATGTCCAAAATACTCAGGATGAGGAAGCCCAATTCAAATGACGTGGACAGTTTTATGTGCTATTCCTTCCCTCAAATCAGAGATAAAACTCTGTTGACCCAAGGTAACGGAAGGTTTCACATTTTTGCAATTTAAATATAGGATTGAAATTGATTTTTTTTTTACCCGAGTTATGAAAATTAATGTTATGGCTGGATGCTTAGAAATGAACAGTCACTCACTTGCCTCATGTTATTGTGCTTAAGAATTTAGTTAAAACAATGTAAATTGCATGAGCAGGATATTTCAAGGGATGAGGGGGAATTTTTAAATGGTGACAAAAAACATGACAGTTGTATCAAAAAGTCAGTGTCTCATTCTAATTGTTAGGTCCATTAAGAATAAAATAGCTGGCAATATTCTGTATATTATGAGAATGCACAGCACTGGAGCCTTAGTGTAAACATGTTAACTGTGCATTTGTCCTGTCAATGACGATGGCAATGTGAATATGTAAACTCGAAAGGTTTAAAAATGGAAAGTGTGAAACAGTAAGAAAACCCAAGGTTAATTCTTAAGGGACCACTCCTCTTTTTAACACTGCCAGAGTTAAAACGTTGAGTTTTACTATTCTTAAATCCTCTCAACTGATTTCCAGGTCCGGCATACAATTGAGTTGGATTAGACCATTAGTATCTCACTCAAAATAACTAAACAGTTTCAATATTTTTCCTATTTAAAGTTTGACTCATATGTAGTTACATTGCGTATGCATATCTCATTCCTGCATAATAATCAAGGGACTTTGCTGCCGTACCATGGCTACAACAGTCGGAATGATATTACATAGTGCCTGAACAATTTACTACTATAGAGACATTTTTGTGTGAGGGGAGCCATAAAATAGGCCTATTTTCAAAGTGTCCCTTTAACCTCTGCTAATTGATGAGCAATGCCAAACGTTAATCAAGTTAAACGAAGATTCTGTTTACCTAGAATGACCCTGGGTTAACTATTAAGAAAGTGAAACGCCATATATCTTTTCTAACTTTTCTTATGCTGCTGTTTATGAGAGCAGTTGCAATGATGTGTTCTTTTGATTATTATTTTTCTTTTGTTTTAATAACCAGCTCACAAGCAGTAAATTATTCCAAATGCATACTTTAATAGGGTAAGAGAAAATGTTATATATTTGGATTTACACAAGAGTTTTTAATTGTTGAATTGAATATTGCTTGAGCCAGAAATGTTGACATCTGTTGATGATCTTAAGCAACTTGACAGTTTTGTCTTGCATTTATTAGATTTATGTTTGAGAGCTGCATAAAAATTAAAAGACATTCTTAAATGTCTTGTTTTTGTGAATGAAATGGTGATTGAGGCACTGGGAGACTTGCTTGCTTTGATATATTGTGTTCCCTTGAGACTTTTAAACATGTTTGTTAATATCACCTCATAAATGAGCAGCACTTACTACCATTACTGGGCCCCTGTGTAGAAATACGACCTGCCCTGCAGTGACAACTTTGATCTGTCTCTTCCCAAAGGATGTTTGTATGTGTCTTTCATTAGACCAAATAAAAATAGTTCCTGACAAGATGTTCATAGTGTCATTGCTTAGAGATGAAAAGGATTTTTTTATATACATCATAACATTTATTTATTTATTTATTTATTTATTTATTTATTTATTATTTATTTATTTATTTAGCTAAAACAATTACTGGCTTGCTTGGTTTGGGACTTATGGAGCTGCATGTATGAATTTGCTCTTTAGTGATTGAGCTTTCAGCAGTGACATTTATATGTAAACTGAACTTCAAATCTGAAAACTTGCCTAAAGCAGTTTCAATTTACTAGAACATTTTGTAAACGCGTTATAGATATAAAGATAAATTGAATTTAATATAATCAGGCTAATTATTCACACAGTTTTTTTGAGCTTTAAATTGTGCTAAAATGTTTTGTTTTGGTATTTGTTTGTAATTTTTGCTAAATTTAGAGTGACATCTCTAAATGTATTTGTATGCATCTTTATATTTAATTTAGTCATAAATTTTAATTTTCTTCAGCTATTTTTTTTTACGGCGGACTCATTTTCACAGTTGAAGCCAGTCATAAAATCCATCTAGTACTGGATAGAAATCTCTAGAAATTTTGAGTGCCAGGTCTTTCCTTTTGCAGTCTGCCAGCAGTTTTTAAGCTGCAATTATGGATAAAATTCATCTTAAGAGATTGACAATTTCTCTAACAGTAGTAAAGTCATTATAGGTTTGAATCCCAGGACGTGCATGAATTGATTAAAATGCATATCTGAAATACACTGTCACTTTGGATACAGTTGTCTGCCTAATGCATACATTTATATGTAAAATGCCCAAAATGATTATGAACCAGATGTTGGAATGTAGTGATATCTTGTCAGTCTACATTACGTTTGTGTTTATAAGTTTTGTCTTCAGATGTACTTTTGATATTAATAGATGCTTGTTTATTCAGATTTTTACTTAACTATTGAGCGAGCAGCTGTTTATTATTTATAGTGTGTAGTTCAATGGCTAGTGGAAAGGACAATTGTTTATGCAAACAGTAATGTTTAAAATGATAAGATCATAATATGTTTTTTTATCAAAATCTTTTTCTTATTTTCCCTGCATGATTCTCTGAAAAAATTCTCACATGCTTTTTTGGCGTTTATCCACAAGCCGATTGTAACTGTATTGTATTGCTGCTGTTGGCATGGATACAGTGCAGCCATAGGGATATTGTTAATTTATATAGTCTCTATTAATGGTCATCTGAGGTTATTAAAATATACTGAAATCTGGAAAATAAATGCAGACAGTCTGGTAGACAGTGCAAAAGCATATTTATGGTAATGCATAATTTACTGTACTGTTATAATTACTAATGTGTAAAAATACCCCATTGGTTTAAACTGTGGCCGGATCCCAGCTGGAATGAACATGGATTCTTCGTTCCTCCACGTTTAGTTGCTCAAGACATGATGTAATCAAACATGCACTCCCAGGAAAAGGAACCATTTGGCATAAAGATTAATTCAGACATTCTCTTCGAATCCCATTCCTAAACAGGCCTGGACATTGCCTGCAAAGCACAGTGAAATGTATGTTAGAACATGTTTTGATGAGTTTTGTCTTGTCTTGTTTTGTTTTTTGCTTTGTTTTGTTTTGTGCAATTTTCATTTAGATCCACAAGACTTCATAACCTTTTCCTTCAGCGTTTTGAATGGACAGGAACCAAAATTGTAACCAGTGAAGTTTGCATTAAAAACTTACTTGCCTAAACTTGTGAAATTGTAAGGGGGAAATCAGGTCAACATTCGTTTTGAATTGGTAAATTAGAGACCAAAAAAATTGTGCTCTTTCAAGTATATTGCTTTCTCCAAAACTTGAGTTAATGGGAATATTTGTTTAAATTTGTTAATGTACTTTCAGTGACAATTTATGTTGGAGGGTGTGACATACTGAAAACTATAACACTCTTTTAGTATGTTTGAAGGCTAATCCTTCATGACCTTTTATCTTTCAGTCTAGACAAAACTTATAGTTTATGTAAAAAGCCAAGCACTGGTTCTTCCAATGATTGAAAAGATGCAGCTGCTGTGGAGGGCATTACGCAGACAGAGAAGACTTTGGGATAGCTTTCAAAGTTTTACTTATATGCATTACACTCAAATTTACCATGAACATTGTTCCCAAGAACAATGTCTGTGGGAGTCTGTGGGAGAGTGTTTCATTCATTCATTCATTCATTCATTCATTTATTCATTCATTCATTCATTCATTCATTCATTCATTCATTCATTTTCCTTCGGCTTAATCTCTTTTTTATCAGGGGTCACCACAGTGGAATGAATCCCCAACTTTTCTGGCATATGTTTTACGCAGCGGATGTCCTACCAGTTACAACCCAGTAGTGAAAAAACAGTGTGTATTTGTACAATAGTATGAAGAGCAGCCTTTGTGCAGATTTGGTTGGCAACTATGGCAAGCTTGCAATAGATCCATTTTCCAGAACCGTTCCTCAGCAAAATGTATGCCAACTTGCCTAGAGCTTCCAAATTTATTGTAACGTTCAGGTTACAAAGACTTTTGCTGTTGATCATGAGACAGTTCTTCAAGTTTTCACTTTATAGGCGCAAATGTCAGACAAATGTAATGGCCGATCAGGAAGACATTGTTTATTAGATCAAAGCTTAATTTTTCTTTCAGTTGTTACTTAAAGGTACACTAGAGTGCATTGTTTCAGTATGCTAAATTATTCTTTGACACCTGCATAGTAGGTACTGTATGTGGTGTAGTTAAGTACACAAATTATCCAGACATGGTTTTATATATTTATTTATAGCCACAGGAATTACCCCTAGAATGCTTGGTTTTGACACTATTTGGAACAGTCTTGATTAATGAGTTGAGCTCTTACACCCCACATCTCATCAGTACCTGCTCTCTCTCTCACACACACACAGACACACACAAACACACACACACACACACACACACACACACACACACACACACACACACACACACACACACACACACACACACACACACACACACACACACACACACACACACACACACATACTTCATTTGTCAATATTTTAACAAATTGCGTAGATGCCTTTTTAAATCATTTTAACTGAAGTGGTGGAGAGATTTATTTTAGTTTTTTTAGGATGAAATATAGGCTGAATTATAATTATTCATTCATTCATTTTCTTTTCGGCTTAGTCCCTTTATTAATATGAGGTCGCCAAAATATAATTATACTCAACAAAAGTATTTAGACCTTTATTTTG